TTTTTTTTTTCTTTTCTTTTTACAGCCGCCCGACTCTCCACGTCGAAGCAACATTTACGGCGCCTTTCCTTTTTTGTTGCTCTCGACGACGAGACAACTCGACGAAGAGGCATCGGCCCGTGCGTCTCTCCCGCCTCGTGCGTTCAAAGCTCCTCGTCGAGAGGTGCCTTTGTCCTCCAGCTCGTGCGGCCATTTTCTTTCTCTTCGCTTTCTTTTCGGTGAATACCTGGCCGACGGTGAAGTAGACGCGCGTTCGGTTCGTACGAACTGGAGAACTCGGTGCAGCGGAGGCCACGAAGGGAAAAGGGACGGATGATATCTGCAGGCAGACGGGCGAAGAAAGACGGGAAGGAAGGAACTCGCTCTGGACTCGCCAGAGGACTCGGTGGCGCGGCAGACAGAGGAGAAGGTGAAGAAAGAAGAGGACCGGAGGAGGAAGAGGAACGCGAGAAAGAAGCTAAAGTGAAACGAGCAGAAAAGACACACGAGCGATGACTCATCGCAAAAAGAGGAAACAACCTGGTGGTCGAACTACTCTGATTCGAATGATCGTGCCTCGAGATTTTCTGCCCCGGATGTCATGCCATTTCCACCGTCATTTTAATACGCGCAACACCAGCCACCGACGGAACCGTTGACGTGCCAATAACGCGGGAAACGAAAGGCTAAAAAAACAAGAACGATGAACGTGGTCGGATGACAAGCACGACCGAGCTCTCTCTCTCATTGACGATCGGTCAGTTGCTTTGATCTCCACGGCCGAGAAAATCTATGCTATGTTTTCCTTATTACAGCCAGCCAATTTTTCTACGTAACTCGTGTTTACGGGATCATCGAGTTGTCCTGCACTTGACGGCTATCTTTCTTCGCAGAATGTAGGCTAAGGAATCTTTCTATGCGCGCGAGGACATGCATCTGACAATCCTCCAGGTCATCAGGCTACCGTTAGAGACATATCGAGGATGCTGATCATCATCGCCGTGAATGGGATCAGTCAGCGATTGCCTGTTGCATACACGTATTCCACGATTGTAAGTAGCATTCTTAACTGTATTACACAGATACCCTCGTTTATTGTCGCTAACAAAGGCTTATCAAGATTACGAAACTTCTTCAGCTGAAAAAAATCCAAGGAAATATTTGGCTGCAAACAAGTTTACGTCGTGCCAGACACACACACACATATATATATGTCTACCATAAAATTGCATTTTTATTCAGTATAAAACTCGTGTGTTATATCGAGATCGTTGCACCGGATATTTCGCTACAGGTCGATCTTCGTCCACCAATTAACTTAAAAAATTTTCTTTATTTCAGAAAAAACTCTTTTGCAGTCGTAAAAACGCCTTGTTTAAAAATAATCATTGATATTTCGTGCTTTCCGTTGTAAAAACGAATGCTTGTCTCGTTATGCAAGCGAAGCATGACGAAGATCCAAGGACAGGTATCTGCTCTTGATGGATCTCTTGCGAGGCGATTTCAAACGCTGCTGACAACAAGTCTCTCCAACGGTTCTGAATCGCACCGAATCACGCGTTTACGGTACGTGGTCACTGTTTAAGGAACGCATGGTCTCATAAATAAAGCTGCTTTGACTTTAACACATTGACCATTTGCGAAAAGTATATTGTGGAAGGTGCTTCATTACAAATGAGACTTCTTCCATAAACATATACGGTCATGTAGTGTGCTCGAGCCTGCATTGGAATTATAGCGAATTTAATCGAGAATTTAATACATTTACATATTGAATATTCCCCATATTGAACTGTCCTCCTTAGTTAAAATATGATAATAATATTATAATGTTATTAATACATTGCACGCTGTAAATATAATTTCAATAGCGGAGCCATAGCCTTGCTGTTGCAGTATCCTTTAATTTTCAGTATATGCAGACAAGTGAAACGCGGCCGAAGGTGCAGCAGCCTGTATGCAAATATACGAACGCGCAACAAAGCAGAACTTTTCGCGAAGATTTTTCTCCGCGTGGCGAGCCCTTCGCGCGAGCCACGTCGTAAAGGAGAGCGTGTGCGTTCGTTACAACTTCGAACGATCGATGCGAACGCATTCAATAGGCCACGGCGAACAAACACCACGAGAACGTTGCACCACGGTGCACGAAGTTCACCTTGAAAGAAGTCATCGAAGAGATTCTTTTCCCTCGATTCGCACCTCCGCGAACGATCGCGGGCGAAGGTGTCCGCTCGAAAAACCTGCTCGCCGCGTGGGTAACGGGCAAGAAAATCCACGAATGCTGGCTCAATCGAATAAAAGCTTAATATCTCTGTCCTTGCGGACCTTCGAAGAACGACGCCACGCCCTCGTCGCACGAATTGGCGTCGTTCGCCGTCACGATGAAAACTCAACGTGTACACAGGCTCGTGAAAGTATTGCAAGCATCTTTTACGAATACATTGTTCGTAATTTTATTAACGTTGTAATGAGACTCAAGTGTCACGATTGTGTCGTTCAAGGTTGGAACAAAAATCGGAGTATGTCCATTATATTTTGCAGGGATCTCTATATTAATTTCAAATTTCATCACTACTGATCGTGAAATCTGTCTTGTAATTTTAAAATAGTTTATATATTATTTATATTTTATATAATATGTATGTAGGTCGCGACTATATCAAGTTTGGAACAAAAATCTGAAAGTGTCCATATTTTACAGAGATCTTTATATATTAATTTCATCACTACTGATCGTGAAATCTGTCTTGTAATTTTAAAATAGTTTATATATTATTTATATTTTATATAATATGTATGTAGATTGCGACTATATCATTCAAGTTTGGAACAAAAATCTGAAAGTGTCCATATTTTACAGAGATCTCTATATATTAATTTCATCACTACTGATCGTGAAATCTGTCTTGTAATTTTAAAATAGTTTATGTAGTATTATTATATTATTTATATTTTATATAATATGTATGTAGGTCGCGACTATATTATTCAAGTTTGAAACAAAAATCTGAGAATCTCTATTATATTTTACAAAAATCTCTATTTCAGTATTAATTTCAAATTTCATCAATGTGATCGTGAAAGCTCTGTTTCATAGTAATTAAAATACTTTATATGATATTATTATTATTATATAAAATATTATTTATATTTTATATAATATGTATGTAGGTCGTGACTATATTATTCAAGTTTGGAACAAAAGTCTGAGAGTGTTCATTACATTTTACAGAAATCTCTATATATTAATTTCAAATTTCATCAATATGATCGTAAAAGCTCTGTTTCATAGTAATTTTAAAATACTTATATGATATTATTATATTATTATATTATATGATATTATATTATATGATAATACTTATATGATAATATTTATATGATAATACTTATATGATATTATTATATGATAATACTTATATGATATTATTATATTATTATATTATATGATACTATATTATATGATAATACTTATATGATATTATATTATTATATTATATGATATTATTATATAAAATAAAATAAAAAAATTAAATAAAAAATTATATAAAATAAAATAAAAATGTGCGTAGGTACAATACACATATGGAACAATTTCCTATAGTAAGTGTTCAAATACTTTGGTTCAAATACAACGAACGATTAAGGCGTCGTATTGTTCATAAATGTGATTATGTTCCATTCATTTGGTTTCGCGCAAACGTCGCTTCTTATAGGGATCGAACTGTCGAAAGGGAAACAACTGTTCCTATGCCGAATCTTGCCTCGTGATCTCGCATTAATAATTCAAGGCATTCGTTGGCCGAATCTTGGTTCGCTTGCAAAGTGTGGGATGTCGCGTCAGCAGTGAAGAATAGTATATGCGATAACGTTACCGTGAATTTTCTCTGTTCTTCTTTTCAAACTTATTTTTTAATCATTACTTGTAGAAAAAAAACGTAAGAAAAAATAGCAGAGAAGATGGAACGAAGGAGAATCGACAGTGAATCGACAGATGGCAGACGACCGTAATTATCTATTAATACGCACGGTGTATTACTCAACAAGTGTGATTGGCTAATAGTTCAAGTTTTCTGAGCGAAACCAACCACCAGATGTTCTCAATTACACGTTCGCGAAGGATATCGATGCATATCGAAATTAAGCGACAATCAGTTCCCTCGGTGTCTAATTATGGGTTCGCGGCATATCGAAGAAGGCAAGTAACACAAAGAGCAGATTAACTCAGAGAGCGGATGTGAGCCTCCATAATCAAACTTAGACAATAGGTATGACTACCACGCTCTTCGACACGAGCAGCGTGATAAAATATGCGGATATTTCTCTTGGAATAGCAAGGAGTATGATTCTACAAGATCCCCGAAGCTATACCTCGCGAGGAAGATCCAAACTAATAATTAGAAAAACGATATGAAAAAACATCACGTCGTTAAATTTCACTCGTATCGATTGAGTTTTCTGAATGTTACCGATGCAACTTGCACCAGCATAATAAAGTTAAAGTCGACTTATGCGCGAGACTTGCACGTCACTGCCACAAGCATCGAGTGTTTCGCGTAAGTGCTTGAAGCCTTCGTCCGATGCTGCATCTGCGGTAGCTGAATGAATTCCATGGAGTGTAATGAAAGAGCATTGTTTGCCCGAATATAATAGCCCGAAGGAAACGCGTGCTTCCAACAGCTGACACGATCCTGCGTGGCAGTCTTGCGTAATTCGAATTACGTAATGACAACCGAGCCGATCACAAAAGCCATGGATCGCCGTCATCGGCTTTGTCCAGCGCTAAATATCGATCACTGTTCCACTCGTGCGTGCGTGTGTGTGTGTTATCGCTTTTTACGCGTTTTCTCACTTTAAGTAAAAGAGATCTTGCCAGATCGTTATGAAAACTATCGTCATTTATTGCCAAAAGTATCATTTACAGAATAATATATTCGACATTATTTTTATAATAATACATCATGCAAATACTAAAGATACCTATTTTCGTTTCCTAGGCACCTTCAGTGTGTTCTTTATAATTATTGACAACAGCTGTGTGCCGTATAACGATTTGGTGAACATCGGTGATCATCGAGTAGAATTCTCAAGGCAGACGATATTGCATATACAACCACTATCGATCGTACAACTACCTATTAAAAAAAAAAAAAAAAAAAAAGAAAAAAACGTAAACTTTCTTAACTTTACCCTCAGAGTTGAGCTTCAAACGAAATCATTATTACGTTGCAAGAAACATTAAAATTAATTCTTCAAACACACGGCAGGGGGTCATACTTCGCGATGAAAGAAACTGAAAATGAAAGTGAAACGACTATGGTTGGAGGAAACACGAAGAGAAGAGAAGAGAACGAGGGGACAGAGCGTTTCACCCATTTCTTCGAACGGTGCTACGTAGGTGTATGTGTGTGCAATGTACATGTCCGTGAATGGGCGTACATTTTGCAATTGAACGAACATCGAGGAACGGAGTAAGATAATTATCGTCATAAATTTTTTACAGAAGCCTATCTTATACTTAATCGCGTGCTCATTATAGGGAACCGTGTCTGCTCACGGTCACGCTTCGTGGATGCAGTCATTCACGCGGCCAATCGTCGCAATGGACTAACAACATCCTGCAATTAAAATACTTGTTCTGATATAGTTGCACGACATGTGGAGGAGCGAGCGGTCGAAAGATGATGAACGACGAATTTCGGTGAAATCTCTCCGTTCTCAGTCGTCGTCTATGATTGATTAGCTTTTCCCGCGAATTCATAAATCAAAAGTTACGGGCTGTGTACATAAGAGAGCTCGGCGGAGAAAGTACAGAAGTCCGTATCGCGAGTCTAGGCAGAAAGGCATAAACGTGAGTATTTAAAAACTCAAATATCTTTGAAACTTTCGTATCTGAGGCATTTTGAAACATTTTAATATTCAGATATTCGATGGTTCTCGATCCGATAAGATTAAAGTTGACGAGGAGAAGGCTTATAAATATAAATAAATCGCATCGACGACCTCTGTAATTAAGCGAGAATCCTGGAGAATGCTTCGAGCTACTAGAGACTAAACGTTGTCTCGTTGTAACCGTACAAATGCAATTTAATCCGACTTGTCGACTGCCACACGATCGCGGCTGTTTCATAAATTCAACTTAACCCCGCTACCACCAGCAGTCAAATGTCTTGATCGGTGTCATCAATCTCTGTCAGGTTGTCGACATGACTCTCTCTTTCTGTCGCTGCCGATCAACCAGAAAAATCCTCGACGTTATATCCACTTTTCGATCGAGCAAACAAACAAATTTCAATTCGATGCATATAAAATTGCATCTCTCTCTCTCTCTCTATTTCCACAGAGCGCTAACTACGTCACGAATAGGATTGCTTTTCCTGTGAAAATAAACCAAAAACGTGAAATGGTTTCTTTCAACGAACATACATTCGTTTATTTATATAGAAAGCATTTGAGAGAATTTTTACAAAAATTTCTTTTTGCCCACGAACAAACGAAATTCTCGAAGCGCAGCAGATTGGAATAAAATATCAATGTTGCGATTTGCAAAAAAAAAATCAAAATTCATCGTACATTAAATCGATGAGAAGAAACTACCCCATTCGTGAGGGTTACGTCGCTACTGGCACACCCTTGGCGTCTCGAAAGGTTTAGCTCGTTAACCCATGATCTGCGTGAATGGAACGCGTGTGTCATGTAACAAAACCGTACAATCCGTCGATTTAAACAATGGCATGGACGTTTCGGAGGACAATGCGTGTTCCGTCGATCGTAAAGAACAGACGGCCGCCTTATAATATGCTCTACATCTTATCACGGGATCGCACGCAATGCGGTCTCTTCGTCACGCGAAACGACGCTCGTAAAAGAGATCTTGGAAATCATGTATACGTGTCTAAATTCAACGTAGCCCGCCAGCGTTCCCCATTTATCCATTCAATGTCTTTGACTGCGTGTACGAACGCGTGTTCGTTGTACCATTATATTACGTTCGCGTCGAGAATCCAGCCGGAGCTATCACTGGCCGATATCACGCGATCCATGATGTTTTAATCAGAGAATTGCTTGCACTGTTCGAACGCAGAGCGGAATGATTCAATATGAATAGAAATCGTTCAAAATCATTATATTGATGTTAAAAATCGAAAACGACGACTGGATTTCTTCCCTCGAAAAATTAATGAAACTTGAACACAGAAACGAGAATTATTTCACGCTACGTCCCGAGAAGAAAAAAAAAAAAAAAATGCGGTAAAAGAATATAAAGTTGATCCTCGGCCTGAAATATCGCACCGCGTATATTTTATTCATTCATCGTCTCGAGCGTTTCGTTTGTTCATTGAATTCTAACGTTCGATTCACGGTTGCGATCTCACGAGCGCGAGAGCAGTACACGGATTCCCACAGCAACGAGCGCGGTTAGGTCATCATTGTCCATGGTCATGGGCCGTCTAGGTGGTCCTCGTGAAAAGGAAACTGCATATATTATGCACGCGAGGTTTTATTGCGGCAAACGCATAAAGGAAAGGCAACCGCATTATGCGCGACACGGGTTCACCGACACGTTGCAACGCGCTGGTTTATCTTACGCGCAATGATGGAATCAGGCATGACGCAAATAATGTCACAGGGCAATTTTTCTCCTTCTCACTATTCTTCTCTCTTCTGGATTCGAACGCTTCGCGAACATCGAGCCCCTGGAACACTAAATGTTGTGACTGAGAAACGGGGATATCCGTCTGAACAGATTTCACAGTAAATTTCATTTCTCACATACGCGTATTTAATCGATCTCGCGAGATTGAGATTTAACTGATTTAGTCTGGTCGGATCGAAATGTATTAGCCTCGCGCCGATGATATGAATTTTCAGGTGGTTAGTAAGGTCTTCTGCGTAGAAATCACCGATATATACCATATCGTGTAAAGTAAAAGAAGGACCGTGGGAGGCGAAGAGAGTTCATTCGCGTGGGCCTGTATCCTGTGCCACGTCCATTTGTCCCCGTGTCCGTTTCGTTTGTCGACAGTAGTATGTATGCGCTGTCGAGATTATCTTTTAGTGGAAAACGAGTCACCGTAAATCGTACCGCCGCGTTACGGCCTTTCGAAGCTTTTTACAGCAAGTCTAGCCAAAGGAAGGATAAACCGCCTCTGCTTAAAGTATTAAAGGGATTAATTGAATGCATCATGTGTGTGTACGACATCTTACTC